AATGGATTGGCCCACAGGGAATTCTCCCGGTCCTCCCTCATAGCCAATCCTGCCTGCTGGAAAACAACTTCCATAATCTGCAACATCCATTCTCCCAATACCTAAATGTGCAGCTTCTTACATTATTGTTGATAGTTACAGTAACTCTGACTGCTCCATTATTTTCATATAGATTAGAGTAGGGCTGCTCGATTTTGGAAAAAATCATAATCACGTTTATTTTGGTCATAACTGTAATCACGATTATTCAAAACGATTATCAGTTGAAGTCAAAATTATTAGCGCTCCTGAGAATTTAGTTTTTTTAAATAACTATTTCCCAAACTATGTTAAACAGAGCAAGGACTATTAACAGTATTTCCTCTAATATTTTTTTCTTCTGGAGAAAGTCTTATTTGTTTTATTTTAGCTAGAATAAAAGCAGGTTCAAATATTTTAAAACCCATTTTAAGGTCAATATTATTCGCCCCCTTAAGCAATATATTTTTTGATTGTCTGCTGAAGAAATGACTGTTATATAATGACTTGCCTAATTACTCTAATTAAGCCTTTGAATTGCACTTTAATTTAAATGCTTGTATTTTGAAAAAAACATCTAGTAAAATGTTATGTACTGTCATCATAGCAAAGATAAAACAAATCAGTAATTAGACATGATATATCAAAACTATTATGTTCAGAAATAAGTTTAAAAAAAAATTCTTTCCATGAAACAGAAATTGGAGGAAAAGGGTTGCTAATATTCAGGAGGGCTAATAATTCTGACTTCAACTGTATATATATATATATATATATATATATATATATATATATATATATATATATATATATATATATACAGTTATTTTCCACCCTGCAAAGGAAAGAGAAATAAATACAATAGAATAAAAATATGAAACAAACTTTGATTTAAGCATCTTCACCCTAAGAAAAACACTTTAGCTACAAAAATCCTTCAGTCAGGAGCAGTAAGGGATGTTCTCGTCGTTTGATTAATGATAAAACAGGCGGCAGCATTTCGCACTGTCACTTTAATGGTTTCTCTTTCACGTGTCTTTTGATTCTCAACTCATTTGTTTATTATGCAAATTAGGGTTAATATGAATAATCACTAACCACCGTGTTTTGAAACCTATTTGACCACTAAAGCGCTCACGTTAAGATGACTTTAGATGTCTGCGCTCCTCTGCTCGTCTCAGTGTGTGAATGAGACCGAATGCTGACCGCGTGCTTATGCGTGTGTGTTTCGCGGTCTTTCGCACTTTTGGTATATGATGCAATAATTGCGTAATCGTCGATTAATGGTTTTTCATAATCGTTAGAAGCTATAATCGAAATCGAAATCGGATTTTCGATTAATTGCACAGCTCTAGATTAGAGTTGGCTGCTTTTGGCTAATCATGACTGAACGGCCAAGGAAATGAAGCGTTCTCAAGCTCTGAAGTTGTCTTTTAACACGTTCTCACTGTCTTTGCTTGACCTATGATATATCTCATTGTCTTTCTGCCTGTGTTCCTTCAATAAAGTCTCAAAACTGCAATTGTGTTCAAGATTACACTGGAAAACAACTCTGTAACACCCATAATACTTCATATTGAGCTGATGATGTCTTCCAATTTTCCAATCCCTAAATGTGCAGCTCTACATTATCGTGGATAATTACAGTAACTCTGCCTGCTTCATCATTTTTCATAGATTAGAGTTGGCTCCTTTTGGCTATTTGTGACTGATCAGCCAAGGAAAACGAAGTGTTTTCAAGCGCTCTTTTAACACTTTCTCACAGTCTTTGCTTGACTTATGGTATCTCTTATTCTCTTTCTGTCTGTCTTTGTAACTGACTCACGCTGTTTCCCGTCAAAGCGCGGCCTCCAAACACATCTGTGTAAAAGCTGTCGGGACTCCGGACGGGCCGCGGATCAAAGCCAGATGGAGTTAACTCAGCTAAATGAGCTATTCATTCATGTTGCTTCAGCAAAGCCTGAGATCTGCACAGAAACACACGCCCGGACGGCACGCTCAAGTGTTTGTTTTTCATCTCCGATTGTTTGAAGAGACGCTAGAGCAAATGTTTATTCTGCAGAGACCTACTGTACATCACCATGTGTTTGTTTGAAATAACACCTCCGTCTCTCTCTGGAGCATTAGTCACGGTGTCTCGTCCTGGTATTTTCACTCTGACTGAACAGCACAAGCGTCTTAAATAAACACTACATGATACTCCTGTTCATAATCAGATGCTTCAGTAGTTCTGAATCAGATAAAGAAATTCCAAAAGCAATCAATCAGGAGTTAAGATAGCTCGACAAATGCTCTTTTCAAAAGCAGGCCACAATGAACATGAGATTTCAGCATGATACACAGCATGACAACAGCCAATCAGGACCAAAGACTGTAAAATATATGGACGTAGTGTCCGTGACGTCACACATAGGTTTCTAAAGAGCGCAAATAAAGGCAACAAGGAGGCGCGGCCAACCGTCGACATTTTATTCGCGCGTCATCGCACCCACGGCGGGATACCAAACAAGGGCAAATAGGCGGAGAGTGGGCGGAGCTACAGACACCTGCTGGCATTTAGCTTGGACCTGGTTCAGACACACTTTACTTTGGGAGAACCCTTAATACTTTATCACCTGTGACTTGTTTGTGTTCTGACCAAATGTACTTGGTTGTATACTATATTAATAAAGTGTTTAGACTTTTAAAAACACTGCTGTAATACATTGAGCCACTAAACATTGCTCTTATGACGTTTCTCAACAGGAGGAAAAGGCGAATTACTTCCAAACACTTCAGATATAGTCTGTGTTAGTTAATGGAAGACTATTGATGAACTCCAGCATAACACCCCTTACAGAAATTTCACATGAGTTTCACATGTGAAATTCACATGGGATTACATGTGCACGTGAAATTGCACATGTGAAATTGCACATGTGAAACACACAAACCACATGTGAAATGCACATGGGATAACATGTGAACCACATGTGATCACATGGGAAAACGTGTGAATTTGGAACAATTTTGTGTGAATTTACATGTGAACCACATATGATTACATGGGAAAACGTGTGTATTTGGAACGCTTTGTGGGAATTCACATGTGATCACATGGGAAAAACGTGTGTATTTGGAACGTTTTTGTGGGAATTTACATGTGATCACATGGGAAAACGTGTGTATTTGGAACAATTTGTGTGAATTTACATGTGAACCACATATGATAACATGGGAAAACGTGTGTATTTGGAACGCTTTGTGGGAATTCACATGTGATCACATGGGAAAACGTGTGTATTTGGAACAATTTGTGTGAATTTACATGTGAACCACATATGATTACATGGGAAAACGTGTGTATTTGGAACGCTTTGTGCGAATTCACATGTGATCACATGGGAAAAACGTGTGTATTTGGAACGTTTTTGTGGGAATTTACATGTGATCACATGGGAAAACGTGTGTATTTGGAACGTTTTTGTGTGAATTCACATGTGAACCCCATATGATCACATGTGAACGCTTCAGATGACTGTTCTAGAACCTACAGCTAATCAATCTGTCAGATTCTGGAGTGCATTACAGCTCTAAATATAAACTATAAATGATCTTAAATAAAACAAATACATGTATAGAGATGGTATATAAGTATATAACTTTACTCACATGGGAAACGGAGGCCACGTGAATGGTTTGTGAGCACAATTAAGTGCACTCAGCATGCCATGTCATCTAATAATTGTAGGAAACAAGTCCAAAAGGCAGTCGACTGTGTAAAGCCACATAAAACAACACAGAAATACGATAAATATGCCGAGATCAGTGGCTAATCTGCAGGATTCAGCTGAGGTGACGGCGACCAACGAGACCTAGCTGTCACTCAAGTGGCCACGCCCTTAATTATGCAAACTTAATATCACTTAATATAAAGGAAACGGATGAGTTTTAAAAAATTCACCCCCTCACAGTTGTCATGAAGGGTAATATTAGCTGTTTTAACCAAAATCTTTTTTTGTACCAGGCTATAAACACCTTTTTTTTCTGCTGTAAAGTTGGCCATTCTAACAGTGGGCTCAATTGAATTTTGCTCAGTGTTGGAGCCAGGAGCGGCCAGGACTAGCAGAATTTCGGATGAATTGCAGTTTTAGTTACTTCCGTATTGGCTTCCTGAGGGAGAGCGGGAGGATGCTGCTTGATCAGGACATAAGTAAAAATATTATCAGACATACTGTGAATATTTCCTTGCCTGGTAAACATCATTTGGGAATTTAGTTTTTTAAAGAATTCAAATTCAAAGGGGGGCTAATAATTCTGACTGTCATAATATGGGATTTTTGTCATATCGCACAGCCCTAGTTGACCACATTTCCACCTATATAGACACTAATTGGTGTTGCTTATTTAAATATATTGTGACGGTCACAGTAACTCTAGCTTCTTCATTGTTTATACAGTTGCAGTTTATACATCTTGGACTGCTACTAAAATAACCCTGGTCCTAACAGCTAACTTCCCCTTTTAAGGTGGCTTAGGAAGTGCCAGATGACAAATAAACGTCACCCGTGTGAAGCTTCTGGCCAGTGTTTAGAGAGCGTCAGCTGCGAGCGGAAGCTGAACGAGGAGGTTATTTATTTTACTGCCTGCCTGTTTAAAGACTCTTAGAAGCCAGACATAGAGTTCAAGCCAAAATTATTCACAATTCTAAGTGTTGCTTAAGGGAAGGAAGATTTTTTCAACATATTTTTAATCATAATAGTTTTGATTTCTACAATTTCTCTTCTGGCAGCCGTTATCAGTCTTACACTATCGTTTTCCTCTTTCTGAAAGTCTTGATAACACCATCATCTTTTATTATGTCAGCATATAGGATTGTAAAGTAATGATTTGTTGTACTCTCCCATTCACCGCGCACTACGTTTACCCGACAATGATGAAGTGCGCTACTGAGAAACCCAGAAATGGATCCGTTATCTTGGAAATTAAGGTTTGATTCTCACCGTCCACTGATGTGAAGTATTCTGGCAGGTGAGCGGCGGCCGCTGCGGCTCCAGCTCCCTGCATCAGTAGTTCTCCATACGGGTTCCGATGGCCGGCCATCAGGTGGTAATAATCCGCTGGAGACGCACCAGGAGGAGGAGGAAGACCAAACAACCCTCGCTCCTTCAGGTGCTCGTGGGCCACTGTTATGGACAAACACACAGAGAGAAGACGGGGTTAGAGGACACATACAATTCATTATGGAACAAACACTATTGAGGAACATTGAGGAATAAACACTATTTATACATACATACACCTATTTATTTTTATTTAACGACACTAAAAAACTAAATCCTCATTTTGCCCATATGAAAAAAATAACTATAGTAGGAAATATAGTAAATAATATAGTAAATAGTAAGGTTTTTAACTGTAAAGTGCTTGAATTATTTTGTTGTTGTAATTCAATAGTTGCTATTGTAACACATCAACAAGAATAATTGATCCGTTGCGGTCGATTCTATAGGTGCTATGGTAACACAACAACTATAGTAACTGATCTGTTGTGGCGATTCTATAGTTGCCATGGTAACACAACAACGCTAGTAATTGATCTGTTATGGCGATTCTATAGTTGCTATGGTAACACAACAACGCTAGTAATTGATCTGTTATGGCGATTCTATAGTTGCTATGGTAACACAACAACGATAGTAATTGATCTGTTATGGCGATTCTATAGTTGCTATGGTAACACAACAACGATAGTAATTGATCTGTTATGGCCATTCTATAGTTTCTATGGTAACACGACAACTATTGTAATGTAAACAAATGACCCAATACTGTAGTTTTTTACAACTATAGTGTATGTTATAATATAATAATACACCAAAGTTTACTGTAGTAAAAATTAAAGTTGTCTACTGTCTTTATTACAGTTTATCAGTCCACTATTCATTTTTCATCAGTTTGTCAGTGTTTGTGTCAGTTTTTATTTTGAAACCAAACTGAAGAAATCACATGACAGTCCCAACTATGAGTTTAAAAGCATATGAACTGCCCACTTTTACAATATTACACCATCAAAGACTATGCTGGCACACAGGAATTTAAGTATTATTTGTATATCACTATATTATTGCATATCTTAACCAAATATATATTAAATGTGTATATTATTGATATTAATTATACTATATGAACTATTTACATTATATATATGTGTGTGTGTGTGTGTGTGTGTGTGTGTGTGTGTGTGTGTGTGTGTGTGTGTGTGCGCGTGCGTGCGTGCGTGTGTATATATATATTTAATTTTTTTATTAAGTTTAAATAATATTACAAGTTTAACTAAATAAAAATTATGGATAAAATTTTTTCATATTGTTTATTCATAAATAAAATCATTTTATTATCTATAAAACTTGTATATATTTCGGTTTATTCTACGAAATCAATTTCAACTTATAAATATTTAATTTCAGCTAATATTTATTAAGATTAGTTTTTATTTAACCATTATAACCTTTACAAAATTAAATACAATTTAAGAACTTTTGGAAATGTCTTATAAAATATTAGTGTAAAATAATCTATATAACACCTATTATGAATATGTTCTTCATTCACTCATTTTCTTTTTGGCTTAGTTCCTTTATTAATCTGGGGTCGCCACAGCGGAATGAACTTATCCAGCACATGTTTTACGCAGCGGATGCCCATCCAGCTGCAACCTATCACTGGGAAACACCCATACACATACACTAGGGACAATTTAGCCAAAGAAATTCCTCTATACCACATGTGTTTGGACTGTGGGGGAAACCGGAGCACCCGGAGGAAACCCACGACAACACGGGGAGAACATGCAAACTCCACACAGAAATGCTAACTGACCCAGCCTGGACTCGAACCAGCAACCTTCTTGCTATGAGGCAATTGTGCCACCTACTGCGCCACCGTGACACGTTATAAATATATATTTTTTCATCAGATATTTATGACAATTAATGAAAATGATTTCAGACCATTTTATTTCAGACCATTGCATACAATCTTAAAGCTGCAGTAAAAAAAAGTAGCCTAGTAAATATACCAGACGGCAAGTGATCATAAAAACTAAATGACGTCTGCTTTCAGTTCTTGTCTAACAGCATAAGAGGAGTTTAACCAATGACCTACAGTAGAAACAAGTGTTGACATCTGCACCTAGTAAACTTGTTTTAAAAGTGTCAGCAGCAATTAGAGCGAGAGTTTAACATTGCCACGCTCCACTCGTTCAGCTCAAGAACACACAAACCTTTAGGACTGAAATGCCTTCGATATAAGCATACAAATTAGGCACAGGCTGGTGTGAGATTCTGGCGGTATGATAACCTTGGATAAAAATAATGCTCTAAAATATCTTCTCTTTGGGTAAAAACAGCAACTGTTACCTATATGGAAAACAATATATTTTATTTTAAGGAATATTTTGGCGCAGTAAACATGTCAGGCTAAATAATTCAAATAAATAATTGACTTCTGCTGTCTTCATTAGCTTCAAAAGCACTGATTTCTTCACCCCAAACTTATGTAAACTCAAGGATTGGTATGAAGTGTTAGCAGTTTTAAAACCTTGACCTTTCTAAACCGCGGTATCATCCCATGCCTACTTCAAATGCAGCATTGCAAGCGCACCAAAGCACTTCTAACAAACAATAAAACAGTCCCACATTAAAACCCTACAGAGATATTCATCCATCTCTCCTTTAATGCAGACATAAGTCACTGTGCCAAGCAACACAATCAAAGCCGGTCTTAGATTCTATTCCCAAGCCTTTAATTTCTCTCTATTCCGGCTTGAAAAATAAACCCGCTGTTGAAGCAGGAGCGCCGAGGTCTGCGTGTCGGCCTGAAAAGCGTCTGGAAAGCGTTCAAGGCCACGTCTACCCATCCACACTCGCTCAAATAGCCCCATTTCTCTTTCTCGCTGCTCTTTTATGTCTTTATCGCTGTTGGGATCTCCGGCGTGCTGCTTATTTAAGTTTAAAGGTGCAGACACATTACGCCTGACAGACTGTGAAGCGTGATTTATACGTCGCTCCGTCGGCGCGCAGCCACCTGTAATTGTAATTCAGCTCTGAAAAGATGCCTGTCGCGGGTTCGGGAGTAAATCGGGGAATTCTGCCCCCTCGTTTCTGCTCATATTTATTTCCAGAACGTTCCTTGAAGGGCAAAGTGTGCGACGGGAAACTTTGACACTTCGTGGGTTTATATATGCATGCTTTTAGATGTGGCGGAGAGATTGACAAGTGCAGTGATTAGGATTGAAGTAATGAAACCTCGAGTTTGTAAACCTCGAATAATTCTGACGTGTTTCAGGGCGGGTTAGACTGGTGTGTGTTAGTTTTGACCAGCCGCCAGAGTGGGTGAGTACACTAAACTAAACTGACTCAAATATTTACACAAGTCTCTATTTGACTGACATCACCGACTAGTCTAATCCCACTGTAATTCAACTCAATCCTCAGGTTGTGCATATGGAGAAAAATAAGAGTAAATAATATAGTAAGTAGTGAAGTTTTTAACAATACTATAGTGAAGTTCTTAGATTAATCTTGTGTTAATCCTGTAGCTGTTATTGTAACACAGCAACTTTAGTAATTGATCTGTTGTGGTGATTTTATTGTGTCAGTGTTTGTATTGGTGTTGGTGTCAATGTTAATGTCAGTATCTAAACTGGTGTTTGTGTTAGTGGCAATGTTTGTGTCAGTGTTGATGTCAATGTTACTGTCAGTGTTACTGTCAGTGTTAATGTTACTGTCAGTGCTAGTGGCAATGTTCGTATTGGTGTTTGTGTCAGTGTTACTGTCAGTGTTTGTGTCAATGTTCTTGTCAGTGTTAGTGTCAGCGTTTGTGTCAGTGTTCGCGTCAGTGTTACTGCCAGTGTTTGTGTCAGTGTTCTTGTCAGTGTTAGTGTCCGTGTTACTGTCAGTGTTAGTGTAAGTGTTTTTGTCAGTGTTACTGTCAGTTTTTGTGTCAGTGTTCTTGTCAGTGTTACTGTCAGTGTTAGTGTCAGTGTTACTGTCAGTGTTACTGTCAGTTTTTGTGTCAGTGTTCTTGTCAGTGTTAGTGTCCATGTTAGTGTCAGTGTTACTGTCAGTGTTAGTGTCAGTGTTACTGTCTGTGTTTGTGTCAGTGTTCTTATCAGTGTTAGTGTCAGTGTTACTGTCAGTGTTTGTGTCAGTGTTACTGTCTGTGTTTGTGTCAGTGTTCTTATCAGTGTTAGTGTCAGTGTTACTGTCTGTGTTTGTGTCAGTGTTCTTATCAGTGTTAGTGTCAGTGTTACTGTCAGTGTTTGTGTCAGTGTTACTGTCAGTGTTAGTCTCAGTGTTACTGTCAGTGTTAGTGTCAGTGTTACTGTCAGTGTTACTGTCAGTGTTTGCGTCAAAATTCTTGTCAGTGTTAGTGTCAGTGTTAGTGTCAGTGTTAGTGTCAGTGTTACTGTCAGTGTTACTGTCAGTGTTTGTGTCAGTGTTCTTGTCAGTGTTAGTGTCCTTGTTAGTGTCAGTGTTACTGTCACTGTTAGTGTCAGTGTGTGTGTCAGTGTTTGTGTCAGTGTTACTGTCAGTGTTTTTGTCAGTGAAAGTGTCCGTGTTAGTGTTAGTGTCAGTGTTAGTGTCAGTGTTAGTGTTTGTGTCAGTGTTAGTGTCAGTGTTACTGTCTGTGTTTGTGTCAGTGTTCTTATCAGTGTTAGTGTCAGTGTTACTGTCAGTGTTTGTGTCAGTGTTACTGTCAGTGTTAGTCTCAGTGTTACTGTCAGTGTTAGTCTCAGTGTTACTGTCAGTGTTACTGTCAGTGTTTGCGTCAAAATTCTTGTCAGTGTTAGTGTCAGTGTTAGTGTCAGTGTTACTGTCAGTGTTACTGTCAGTGTTTGTGTCAGTGTTCTTGTCAGTGTTAGTGTCCTTGTTAGTGTCACTGTTAGTGTCAGTGTGTGTGTCAGTGTTTGTGTCAGTGTTACTGTCAGTGTTTTTGTCAGTGAAAGTGTCCGTGTTAGTGTTAGTGTCAGTGTTACTGTCAGTGTTAGTGTCAGTGTGTGTGAGTGTTTGTGTCAGTGTTACTGTCAGTGTTTGTGTCAGTGTTACTGTCAGTGTTCTTGTCATTGTTACTGTCATTGTTCTTGTCAATGTTAGTGTCAGTGTTACTTTCAGTGTTAGCAG